CTGTAGGTGTTTCACACATCTACCCCAACTTGTGCCCCAACTCCGACCCCAACTCGGCCAAGTTGGGGTCAAGTTGGGGTCCGAGTTGGGGCCGAGTTGGGGCTCAAGTTGGGATGTGTGAAACACCCTAATGCTCTCCATTGTATTTGAATCAAGTTATATGTATACCTTGTGCAGAAGGAAATGTTCAAGTAGTGTCGGCGGCAGTTGGCGGCAAATACTCTGTGACAGAGGCGGCAATGTGACAAAAAGTGCCGCCAACTGCCGCCACATTTGGCGGCAGTCTCCATTTGGTGGCGGCAGTTGGCGGCACTTTGCGGCAGTGGCGGCACTTTCACCGTGCCCGGTCTGTCCAAGCACAGCCATTGATGTTTTGTTGGTGGGTAGGTAGATAGGTAGTTTGGAATGAGTATTTACTTCACCGCCAACCTTGACGTGGCTTCCTAACACGACGACGGGTAAGTCAATCTTAGTGTTCAAATCAGTACATTTCATTCCAGAACACGCTGTGACGCTCACGCCCATCACGCAAGCGAGAGGATTCGCGATTACATAGAAATGAGGAGAATAGGCAGAGCATCCGAATGGTGACAATCAACACTTCTCGTCCTTTATCGCCCATACGCCCCACACCCCGAATATTCCCTAGAAATGATGTGATTCACGTTAGATTTCACGGAGCTTACATGTAGCAGGAACACAAGGACATACAATATCGCACATATCGGGCTTCGGAAAGTGTTGGTGGCGGACGGTTGCCGGCGTCGTGGAGCACATCTCGCGCCAGTTGTCTCCGGATTGGAGGTTTTCAAGGCGGGACTGGATGCGCTGAAGAACAAATTGAAGGTATATCAGCAATTCCGTGAGGGAGAGAAAGGAGACACGCACACGACGACGAGATCCAGGGGAGGTGCAACCCTGATGGAGAACAAAGAGCTTAAGCGTGTCAATTGTATGATAAAAGGGAAACTTACCTTGTCGTCGAAGTTTTTGAAGTAGGTCGCACAAATCGACTCTCCGGATGCTGCGATCCAGTACCCAAATACGCCGAAGCAGCCCTATGCCAAGATGAGACTGGAGATTGAGCACTCGTAAAGATGACGCACTCGGTCCTCGCACTTCAGTGGACGGCCTTCTATTTTCACTCCCGGGATCTCGATGGCGGTCTCCATGCATGCTTGAACGGGATCGTACGACCTAGGAACATTTGCAAGCCGTGCGGTATACCCCCGGGCGTTGTGCCACAGACAGCGCTGATCCGGCGTGAGGTCCTCCCATCGGAACCCGGCACGCACGCGCGCAAGTTCGTCTTCCTTGCGGCGCTTCTCCGCAGCGCACTGACTCTTCCACTCCACCTTCTCGCGCTGCAGGTCTGCACGCAAAGCTTCTACATCATCGCGCTCGCGTGCCCAATCCGCACGAAGAGTTTCGTGTGCCTGGATCTCCTTCTCCCATTCCACCTCCTCTTCCTGGCGACGCTCCACCCGCGCCAGGCGCTCACGCTCCCACTCCGCCTTCTGGTGTTGTAACTCCGCGCGCAGAGACGATATGTCGCTGCCTGCGCGCACCCAATCGGCACGAAGGTCCGCGTGTGCCTGGATCTCCCTCTCCCATTCCACCTCTTCTTCCTGATGGCGCTGGGCCTGTGCGACGTGTTCACGTTTCCAATTCTCGCTATCGCGCTCAAGCTTCGCACGCAGAGATAATATCTCCTCTCGCTCGCGCGCCCAATCCGCACGAAGAGCCTCATGTGCGTGGACCTCGTTGTCCCATTCGTCCCGGATGCGGGCCTGCGCTGCAGGCTGAGGTGCAACGTTCGGAGGCCGCGAGATCACCAGCACAGCAAAAATTATTCCGAGGACCAGGATCGCAAGATGAACTCGAGAGAAATTGCACTTGCGACCCATATTCAGGCCGCTGGAGCTGTTATTTACAGGGTTACTCCGGAAGGTCAAGGGCCTTCTGTCGTTCATGACATAGCTAGAAGAGATGTCGCCAGACGCAGGAGAGCTATCGTTGGAATTGACATTCCGTGAGGGCTCTTCGTAAGGAGGGGGAGTATTGTTATCTGCGTGAGCGCCAGCTTCAGACAAAGAGCCTGGCATTCTCGAGGAGCAGTCAGCCGTGGGTACGAGGTCCGTCGTTTCTACTTCAGCTTTTGGATCATCAGACTTGAGGTCCAAAGTGGAGGAGGCTTCAGGAAACGACGATACCATTGTGGACGTTGACAAAGGTTGACAATGAGCCTTGAGGCCCGTCACTGTCACGGTCATGCCGTAAGTAAACTAACAGTACGAACACGGCTTTGGCCGCAAGACCGTAGACGTTAGCCGACCTGAATTTCTACGGATTCTCTGGAGGCGCTCCCGGCGTATCCGATCTTTTGAATGAATTGGGTTCACAGATCCATCGTATCTGTTCGGGTTCTTTGACCGTATTTGTCGCGCCCCATCGCTGCCAAACAAGGCCCCTCCTCTTTCTTTTTGCCACCAAGCTCCCGGGACACGGTATCAATTCTATTCTATAACAAGTGTAGCGCGCTTTGCGGCAGAGCCCACTAACTAGTGATTGGATCAATATGTTCGGACTCCGATGTCCACAAAGAAAAATTTGGGTTGAAGCACACATTGTCACATTGAGCTAAATCTCTGTGAAAGACCATCATGCAAAGTTGCCAAGGTGAAAGAAAGAAGACAACTCTGCGCTGTGTTTATAACTAGAGGCCCCCATTTTTGCGCCCCCATAACTAGTAATCAAAACTCCGAATCAAAGTTTGTGTGCCAGCCCGCAAGCACTACACGGTGTTTCGCGATGAGTATAGCACACCCAAAAAAAAAGAAGATACATATTTTATCATCTGAAGTCGAGATTACGCAGCGGAGGGTACACACTCTGACAGGGTTGTCATTGACAAGTGAATTTCCCTATTGAGCTGTATATTTGAAGGACAAGTTACATTCACTATCCCGGCCTTCAGGCCCTCTGAAATACCTCCAATTACATTGTATTAAAAAATCTGAGCCAATCGGAGCACTATAGCTACTATGGAACATGTTCAGATAGTGGAAAACACTGAAAATTGAGCTGGTGAATTATTTTGAGATGCTTAGAACAAGTCATGATACACAGGGCCCTGCGGAATTGCAGCGCAAATTGAATGAGCCTATTTCCAGAGAGAACTGTTGAGATTTTGCAATTGCTGTTCTACCACAGACAGAAAAAAAAAAACAGCTGTGCCATAAATTCTGCCAAGGGCTATAACAGACTTCTCACTCTGATATGTAAGTGTGTTCGAAGTGGCTGGAAATCTGAATACATAGACTCTGATTTTGTTGTAATTGCCGCTGGAGTAGACCCTGAAGGCGGAGTGGACAGAGTCGGAATACCAGCAGACAGCAGAGGGTCAAAATTCCCGAAACTAAATGAACTCACCAGCCATGGCCATCTGTCTGCTTCCGCAGAAGCCCATGGTGACAGGCTAAAATAATTGATGACTCCCTAAAATGGCAAAAAAAAAGGTAACTTACGGGACTCGAACCCGCACGGGAAATACGGTTGTTTGTTCATGATTGCCGTGGGAAAAAGGCGTACTTGAAATAGGGCTCTACAGGACCCACTACCTAAAGTTAGTGGGCATCTCGATGGCTCCCACCGCAGGATGGGATCAACCTGTACAATCTGTGGGCCTCTTGACTTCCGGGATTCCCCGCTACTTTGCTTATCGAGTAGAAATAGACCTCTGCCCGCCGTGGACCGATCCAGCGGACCGTCATTCCCGTCTCGGACGACTGGGAGGATGACGACGACGAGCTCGAAATCGAGCCGCAAAATGCTGAGGATAACCAGCGGATATGGGAGAACGCGTGCGTCCGACACAATCTATGAACTGATGCAAGCTAACCCTGATAACTTATCTGTGTCGTACAGGAACGCACAGACACCAATGCCGAACCTTATTCTCTCAGGCTCTACCCACGCGAGTGTCGCCGCTCCCCCGGCTGCGGCCTTCCAACCCAAGATGCGCATTCTGAAGCGGCCCACAAACGCCGCGCCCGCGGCGCTTCCGCCATCTACTGTATCGGGGGAGACGCTCAAGGAGCGCGAGGCTCGTTACCAGGCCGCCCGGGAGCGCATATTTGGCGCCGAGGCCGAGTCGTCGCTCTCGCCCGGCGACAAAAAGGGTGTGGGCGTCGGCGCGGGCGTCGTGCGCAACCCCCACGGCCCGACCGCCGATCCCCAACTGCAAAATTCGATGCCGAAGGGCTTCAAAGCACGGAGTGCGCCCCCTCCGAGCCCAAATCCCATCCGCGATTCCGATTCGAAGGGCGTGGAGAAGTCGTGATTCGCTGCACCCACGTCCTCCATATGCGTCTCTTACTTACTCTTTCCTCTATGGTGCTTTACTCATAATTAACACAACATCGCGGATTTTCATAATCAGCGCACACCCATCCTTCGTGTACTTTCACTCACATTTACATCCTTATCGACGCGTCTTTTGCAGAGATAGATTACTTCATTCGAATGTTACGCCCAAACGCGAAGCAGTGGGTGGCCGCCCGGTGGCGACCCGTCGCTGCAGACAGCCTTGACAGCTAGACTCGAAATACGGTCGACACTTCATGTTCAGTCTTATTGCGTCTGCTGACAGTCGGAACGACAACCTTACGTCCATGCACACAGTACGTGTCCATTTGTCCACGTCAAGTGACATGGTCTCGTTCAACCGGCACTAGCTAGTAGCGCGAGTTCAAAGATAAGACTCAGGATATGATATTGCTCAGGTGAGTCGGAGATCTTACGAAGTTTGAACGCTAAACATGCGCTTCGATCCCTCCAGATCTCAGCAACCTCCGAACGCCAGGTATATCTCGATTCTTGACTTTCCAGTAGACGTACTGGATCAAAAGATCCAAAGACCAGATTGGCCGATGGGGAAAGCAAATATATGCCCTCTTGCTGTGGCGCAAAATTCTCATTCGTATGCGCGATCAAAACAACGACCACGGTGGGACTCGAACCCACAGTCTCTGCCTGTTCGAGAAAACTAATCGGAAAGCAACGCAGTAACCATTTTGCCACACGGCAACTACATAGAAGACCGCCGTCAATTCGTGATGCCGAGACGTGACGTCGTTTCGGAGTTTCGGACCTCGAGACGGGACGGGACGGCAAAAAGACGGCCGTCAACCGTCAAATGACGGGTCAGCGTCGGCAACCAAAAATTGCCCATCCAGAAGCGAAACGAGGAGAAGAATAGGCCCTAACTGCTGTGAACCCCTCTCATGATTTTGTCAATAAGTTCCTAGTTCGAGAAGAGGCAAATGTCACTTTTCGGAAGTGTGGTTACCATCTTGAAAGTGCTGTGCACGCACTGCCTACTTCAACAGCTCGGTTCTACAGCATTCTTTACAGCTTGCTGATTTTAGTATTTGTTACACAGCTCTTCGCAGCCTTTCACAGCCCTATCTAGTATATAGTCGTGTACATGTTGAGTGAACTTGTTCCCCATGTGTGTGCAACGGGTTCACTGCTTGGAATCTTCAATTTCTGCCCAGTCTTCGCTATGTCTTTCTCGACTGGGCCATATCTCTTCTCTAGATGCTTCCATTTCAACAGAATCCATGGACTCCTTTGCGTGTATTGCAGACCTGCCTTGAGATGGAGGCTTTTCTCAAAAATTCCATTGGATGTGATGGGTGTTTTTGCTGGCAATGGCACAGTCTACCAAATCTTGGGGATTGGGTGCATTCCTGGCATGGTCTCGCTCACCATCTTCCAATTTTTGAGAAAGGTCTCCACACCTAAGGCGGGTTTTCATTTCGCTTGAAGGAGTCCATGGTATTCTGTTGACTGGGTCTAGACAAGAAAAATGGCCTGTTTGAGGAAGACATGGTGAAGACTGGGATGAAAATTGAATCACCTGTGAGGAATTTTTTTTCATGGGGTGTTGCTCATGATGTGGGTAATTGCAGGGTCATGTCAAAGCTGGAGAAACAGTTGGATGAGCTGGAGAAGGCAGGTTGGTGGGAGAAGATGGTGGTGCTGCACTGGGGGACTTGTGCCGTCATTGCGTACTATGGATAGTACCGGTTCCTGGTGGGGTCCATCCAGGTGTGTGTTCATCCTTTTTTTGATGCCTCCATCTCAACACATACTGGCCTCCAGGACATTAGTGTCATTCAAAGTTGCTCCTACTAGCGCTCCTACTTACGTTCCCACTTGCTTTCCTACTTGCAAGTAGGAAAAGGAGCTTTGATGCTCCTTCTGTCAAAATTTACCTCCTACTCTGGTTCCTTTTTGTACTTCCACTCCATATTTCCAAAAAATAATGTTACCGCTGAGAAGGTATGTACAAGTAGGTAAAACATGGTTTGTTTCCTACACTTAACATTGCTGGGATTATGTATAAAAAATACAAGGAAATTTTCGTACTCAGGCAAAATGCTGGCTAGGCCATTCAAATTTGAATGAAATTCTCCTACTCTTTCTTCCTTCTTGGGAAATAATCAATAAATTGAGCAGGAAAATATACAGAGATGTTGTAAGGGTATAAAATAAGAACCCTTTCCATTTTTATCGGAATCTGGGCAGAATTGCTTGCGGGGCAAGAAGTAGGAGCCGGAGTAGGAGAGCAAGTAGGAGAACTTTGAATGACACTATTGAGAGGAAGGTTGAGGCTGGTGGTTGCAGCCTTGCAGGTGCCTCGTGCTGCTTCCCCTCAGTAGCCCTACCCAAGTGTGATCGGGAGAATTGTTGTGTTTCCACTTGAACAAGCAGAATGTATAAGTGTGCAGCTAAGTGTGCAGCTACGTGAAGTACATCCGAGTCTGTGCTCACACGCAGCCCACTAACCAGATACATAATCTTTATTTCTGGCTGGCGGGACATGATGGTGCGACCCTGACCATCGGTTCGCTTTGCTCCTGCGAGCATCCCTGTAATATCGTGTAGCTCGGATCATCCGCTACCTGCGGTATCATACTCGGCACTCGCCAACAATGCAGTGCTTGGACTCGTCCAATATGTCTCACAACCTATGCCCCATGTCGAATTTCGACCCTTCCCTCTCCTCGACACCAAAGTAGTGTCTCAATACCAAACATGCTGGGTGTGCTCTACATGGCTGAAGGAAACTGATTAACGGTGATCTAGTATGCATAGGTGATGTGTATCGTATTTTCTCAGTCAATATAACTTTAACTTACTTATTCGGTCAGTTCTGGCAGAATCACCAGTGCCCCAATACTCTGGCTGGTGAGGGTGCTACCCTTACTTTTAGCTTCTTGTTATCTGTTCGGCGAAATCGATTTTAGTTTGATCACAGCCTTACCACCGACGCTGAAACTTTGAGAGTTTCCAGGCCACCTTCTCCAAATTTTCGGGCCCGGCATCAATTTCGGACAGGAAATAGATTGAAACATACTTCGGGCCACCTTCCGGTGATTTACATACCCCGGATGATAGAGTCAACGAACTAAGAGTGTTCCTGTTCCCGGATGCAGGCTGCTATAAGGGAAGATTCTAACTTTCATAAAACAGCAAACATCGATACTCCGGGTCGTCCCCCGGTGATTGACATGCGCTGGAGGTTGACAGAGAAATTTTTCTGTTCCTAGATGTGGGCTGCTATAAGGCAGGATTCCAACCTCGATAAAACAACAAACATCCATCTTACCATTTCTCGACTTCACTCATGACTAGTACACCAAGCGCAAAGCAACTGCTTCCTCGCAATGCGGACTGGGCAAACAAAATCAAGTCCGTGGATCCCGACTACTTCGTTCGTCTTGCATCGCAGAAGCAACACCCAAAGGTGGGCTCAGCCGCATGCCAGTGCGCGTGTGCGATGCTGAGATTTACTTGCGGTTCTCTTTTTTTTTTCAGGTCTTGTGGATTGGATGCGCAGACTCGCGGGTGTCGGAGACAACTATCTGCAACTGCACGCTTGGAGATATCTTCACGCATCGGAACATAGCCAAGTCCGTCCTTTTGTTTCGGATCGCAATTCGTCCAATGCGTCTAACCCGGTAACTACAAACAGCATGGTGACGCACCCCGATGACTGCGGTCAAGCAGTGATTCAGTACGCCGTGGACAGTCTCATCGTCGAAGATAGTGAGCAAGCACCGAACAATTATTTCCTTACTCGCCTTGAATATTAATAATTATTAAAGTTGTCGTAGTTGGCCACACCAAGTGCGGCGGCGTCGAAGCTGCATGGCTCGCATCCAGAGAGCCCATTGTCCCGACTGATACACCCCTCCAACGATGGCTCGTCCCGCTCATCAATCTCTCGAAAGAGCTCCACCTCGACCGCGTGCCCATTGAGGACAAAGACAAAGCGCTCCGGATCCTCACCGAGGAGAATGCCCGGCGACAGGTCAGTCCGCACATCTAATATAATAAAATGGTGACTAATTGGCTCATAATAGGTCTACAATCTCTCCAATCTACGGACCATTCGGGACGCGTGGAACCGTGGACAAAAGATCGATCTACGTGCTTGGGTTTTCCAGATGGAAACTGGACTCCTTCTCGATGTTAGTGGCCCGTTTCCCGCCCCGCCGAATGTTGCGCGGCTGTAAGTAGACTGGACTGATATGGTGGGCTGGTTCAATGTGTGGTTAAAATACATCTCTGTAATGGCGCTTTAAACTAATAGCTTCAATGTTTTTTTTTTCGGTGCTATACTGGCATTAAAAGGATTCCTTGCTCGGCGGGCAGCAGTCCTTTCGCGACCTCCTCCGTCCTCGCACTTTATATTACAGCAGCCCGATAGCTTAATTTCGGACGGAGGGCAACCTTTCAACGTGTTGAACTTTTGGTTGAACTTGTCATGAGAACGTCGGCAAATCCCGAGTTCCAATCAAACATTGCAGTTTGTTGTTTCCTGGACCGGACCGTAACCGTGAGCTCGCCGGAGTGCTAGCGTCGTTGGCCATGCGTGGTTAGGTAGATGTTCTTGGCTCAGAGGCCCTTCGACCATGGAAATGTCCATTTTTCGGCTCGGAGAAAACAAACGGAAATTTCTCTGGTGGAACTTGCTTTTTCGACGCAACTCCTCTCGAAGCGGAACAGAGCGGAGCACCTGGCGTATCGCAGCGGAATTAGATCCAAAGATCGTCGCGCTCGACGTGTTGATTATAATTGCTGGAAGTTTTTGGGGTAAAAGATTTATCACAAGATATTTGAACGAGTAGCATGCGACTTCCTCTTGCACTCTGTAGCCTCATGAGCTCCTCCCGTTCCAAGTTCGATTTCACGTTCGGTCCGATTGATCCGATGTTCAGCCTTGCCGACGGGGAACGCGCGGCTGGCGACGCAACTCGCGTGGGTCTTCTTTGAGTCAGTGGCAGTTTGACGGCTGGCCGGAGTCATACATGTATACTGAAGTGACTGCGCACGGCTTGTGCTAATCAACGCACCACCTTCTCAGCAGTTTCTGCTTTTACCATGTCCTCCCCCCTCCCCCCCGATCCGTACCCAGATGTAAAACTGAACAGAAGTTACAGAACGGAAGCTTCCTCATACTTGAACCGCGTAAAACTTCCCTCGGAATTGCCAGGCTCCCCTCCATCCCTCTCGTTCCTATTCACTCTCTTTGTGTCTCATCTCGAGCAGATACCGAAGGATACCAGTCCACTGCATGTCCCTGAAGAACAATGGAACAGGCCGTCGACGCGAATCAAGCTCGGCAGCGCATTTACGAACATGCCGCTGGGTGCCTCCGCCTTCGACCGCATAGTCTGAATCCACGAGTGACGAGAACAAGGGCGCATTTTTGTTCCTCGATAAACGCGACGTTTGCGAGCTTCCCTCCGGTACTCGCACGTCCTCCCAATCGCAGCCTCGCCCGGATACTGGTCCCGGCTCTTTATGTTGTACCACTGTAACCACTTCTCCGCATGACATTATGCTCTGGCGACGTTCACAGCATTTTTGGTTCGTCACGCGGATTATCCTGGGGTCCGGCGGGGCGCGGCGGCGGTCGATGATGTATGCGGAGAGGGAGGGGCTAGGGCGGGGGACGCAAGCGAAGGTGTATTTCAAGCTCAAGGCTCCTTGAATACAGACCAATTGGATGT